TATCTGAGAATGTGCCTATAAAAGTAGATTTGGGAAAAGGGGAGGAAGGAAGAGCACAGAGAAAGATGAAAGAAAAGAATCCAGCAGGTTCAAACTTTCATATGGAAATTTTAGGTTGCTAAGAATTGACTGTGAATTTTTCAAGAGAATCAGATGAAATTTTATCTCCTCATGGAAAGGGTGTATTTCAGCAGAAATACATTCTGAAGGCATAACAAAAAACAAACTAACAAAATCTGCAGGTTCAAGTTATAGTCATAAAATCAAGGTTGAAATAGACCTCAAAGATCTTATAGTCCAAACTGTACCCAAGAATGACTTTTTTCTATATCATTTCTAACAAGTCAACCAATCTCTTCCTAAAGACCTTCAGTGATGAGGAACTCTACCTCTGAAAGCAGTCCATTCTCTTTTTGGACAAGTCTAATTGTAAGGAACCTTTTTCCTTATATTGACCCAAGATCTGCCTCTTTGCAATTCTTGCTTATTGCTTTGGGGCCAAGCAAACAAATGTAATACCATTCCACATTATAGCCTTTCACAAATGTGAATGTAGCTATCATTTGTTCCCTCAAATGATTTTAGTCCCCTTACCATTCTTGTTATATTCTAGCTTATTTATATTCTTCCTACAACCTGCTCTCTAACTATCACCTCCCTTAAATTTGTGAATTGGAGCATAGGATCCAGATTAAGATTGAATAAACCTTCTTTTTATTACAATGTTGTACACTTGATCATAGGAGTTTTCATTCTGTTAAGGCTCTCAGGTCTTTCTTTCAAAAAAATTTAATGACTAGTTATAAGGCTTCCACCCATCACCTATTCTTTGAATCCAAGTATAGGTGGCACAGTGGATAAAGTGCCAAGCCTGGCGTTAGGAAGACTTGAGTTCAAATACGGCTCAAACATTTACTAGCTATGTGACCCTGGGCAAGTTACTTAACCCTGTTTACCTCAGTTTCCTTATTTGTAAAATGAGCTGGAGAAGTAAATAGCAAACCACTCCAGTATCTTTGCCAAGAAAACCCTAAATAGGGTCACAAAGAGTCGGACACAACTATAACACTGAACTTTATCTTTATTCCTGTTGAATTGTCATATTAGGTATGGTTAATTCTTCTAGCATGAGATCATTTTGGATCCCACTTCTGGTATCCAACATGCTAACTATTCCCTCCAGTGTCATGTCATCTACAAATTTCATAAGCATGCCATCTGTGCCTTCATCCCAAATCACTGATAAAAATATGTTGAGAACATGTTCCTAATTCTTCATTTCACCTGTTTGAAGGAGAGCATTATTGTGTTTTGCTCCCTTAGAGATTCAATGTCTAGTCTCTGATGATGTGGTTGTAGGTTCTATCACACATGTGTGCAAAAAGAATGTTTATTGGACTACTGCTCACCTTACTGATACCCTCCATACTCCACCCCCATTTACCTCCATTAGCACTGACCTTCAAGTTCATTCTTTTTTTTCCTACACATTGTGACTTGGAACCTGGACATTAGCAACCCTGCTTGGTTTCTGTAATAGTACATTAGGGATGATTATGAATGCTGAGAAAATATGGTTTCCATTCGTGGTTATAAGAATCTTCCATGGTTATAAAAAGATATATTTTCAAATTTGTATTGCAAGACCTAGGTCAGGTCAACAAGTGAACTACAATATTTGAGAAAAGAAAGCAAAAACACAAAGTAGGAGAGACTTATGGTTCTAATAGGGGACGCATTCCAGAGGGTTCTTTAGCAGCATGTAATTATAAGCAGTTTTTCCTCTGGGATTGTCTGGTCCAACATTTTGCTTTCAGATACCCTAGAACATTCCTCACTAACAACTGATCGAACAATCATTTTTCAAGGGCTTGATCACCTCCACTTTTCCTCAGCTACTTCTCACTGCCACAATCTCAGTGCTAAAAAGCAACAGTGTCACTGGAGGCACCACTTTATCACTCGTTAGGCAGAAATACAAATTGATCAGAAGGCAGACGTAACAAAAAAGATATTAATTATCCTCCAGAGAGGTGGCAGTAGTTTAAAGGGCTCTTTCACTTTCACCTTCCTGCCCTATTGATAAGTGTTTATTTGGTGCCAGCCGCCCAGATAACTATTCATTGTGATGATGCAACAAGCATGAGAGCTGGCAAGGGAAGAAAGTTGAGCAAAACAGACTCTTCTGTCATTGAAACATATGGATTACTAGCTAAGTAGCCATTAAGAAATGGGCCAAATCAATGATGCTCCCACTGGGTCAACCTGGAACTGTGCCACTAATAATGATAATAACAACTAACATTTATGTAGTGCCTACTATATGCCAGGCATTGTGCTAAGTTCTCTACAAATGTTATCCTCACAACCACCCTGGTGCCAGATGCTGTTATTATTTCTATGTTACAGATGAGGAAACTAAGGCAAACATGTCACATGATACTCAAGATCACACAGCTAGCAAGTATCTCAGTTTGGATTTGAACTCAAGCCTTCCTGACTCCAGTCCTGTTACTCTACCCACTGTACCACCAGCTGCCCCATGATCCCCTTTAGGTTAACAATTTTAGAAACAAGTCACAAAGTCACCAATAGGTGAGAGGCAGTGTGACATAGTAGAAGAAGCTTTGATCTTGGAGTCAGAAGACACAAGTTTAAATCTTGGTTCAATACACTGTGATTTCTGGCTATATAGAATTTATGAGCTTTAGTTTTCATATGAAGAAAGGGAAGATAATTGCTTTTGCCACCTCAAGAGGTTATTGTTTTTAAAAAAAAAAGTGCTTTGAGAAAAAGGCTTTAGGAAAATGAATTACCAGATACCATATTTTATGTGGTTTCCTGGGAGGGCTCTTGAATCCTTAAATTTTGACCAAGGAAAACAGGCACAAATGCCTGGTATTCAGAGCTTAATGAAGAGACATTGAGGACTGCTCTGCACTATTTTACTTGGACTATAGGGCCAAAGTTCATCCAGACTATTATGATCAAGCAATTTCAGTTTTGAACTTTGGCTTGCAATAGACTTCTTTTCCATGGCTATGTTCCCTCTGAATTCCATATTATAAGTACATCACACATCTCAAGTGATTCATCTGCTTAAACTTAGGTTCCCCTGGCTTTGCTATAAAATGTCCCAGGGTGTATTCTAAATAGGTTCCAAGTTCCAAATTTTGCATTAGCATTTTAAAGTTAGAAGCTGTTAACAAATCACAAGGGAACAACTGGATTTTCTTAGTGGTAGCTGTTAACCTCCTTATCACTGTGGCACAGAGAGGTTTCATCCCTCTTTGGTCTATTTCCCTTCCATAAGTTCATTTCTTCCTATGTTAGTTTTGTCCACAATGTTTGTTCACAGTCCTAATACTATAAAATGCTGTACTCATCTGATTTTACAAAGAAAAGTAGACACTTTTCATATACGTGCTAGAATGAGGTGTGCTTATAAATGTTTAACAACTATCTCTCTGGGGGAAGAAATGTACCCTTGACACACTTTTACATTTAAACTGCATTATTAACACTTTCTAACATCTAAACAATCAACAAAACAATAAACTAAGCTCTGATTTATAGCATTTGCCAATATCCAGAGTAGAAATGCTCACACTGAAAATTTAACAATCACCTCTCCCTAGCTGGCTCCTACTCACTCCTGATGCTAGGGCAGTTTGCCAGAGTAGCTGCTGGCATCTTACAGTCATTGTAGATTCTGCTCAAGGTAGAAGAGAGATCCACACATGCTCAATTATTGTTCAATGTGCTTTATGCACAGCCTACAGACTTGAGAGTGAAGGTAACGGGAAATAAAGTGGTGGTTACCCAGAAAACAACACTGAGCACATGCACCAGTACTATCTGCAGTGCAGGAAATCCTGAGGAATGTGTGAATGTGAAAGGTGAACAGAAGTGCGCAGACTATGTCCACGTGATCCTTAGCCTGCAGCATCATTCTACTCCTGCAATGTTCCACTCTGGCATCATACCTTTCATTTCCAGATATGAGCAGTCTTCCATCCTAGGTACTTCCCATTGATGCCCTGAGACTGGAAGTATTTAAAAATGTTTTTGGTTCAACAACTTGAAGTCTAAAAACAACCTCTAACTTTATTTTTTCCTAATTTCACTTCATAAAACAGGTAGCAAAGGCTGTATTGACCACACCCTCATCAATCATGGTGTGTGTGTGTTTGTGTGTATTATGTATTCCCAAAGCTTCAGTGTCTATGCTAAGCAGTTCCCTAATGGCCTAAAAGAGTTAATTTGTTCCCCTAAGTTCCATCCTTACTACCAGGGAAGGACTTAGACCCTTGGAATAAATTGGCTAAAGTTTACACATTGCTAGATCTCCATACACTGTGTGAAGGAGAGAGTGTACCAAACAGAAATATTTATGTGCTTTTTATCAAAAATAATGAAGGCAGAAACTGAAAGTGACATAGGAATATACACATTGTGTACTTCCTTATTATTGTGGCATGGAAAGGTTTCATCCCTGTTCTGTCCATTTCCCTTCTATAAATTATGTCAGTGTTTGTTCACATGGTACCAAAGTTCTAACACTATAAAATGTTGAACTCCTCTGATTTTACAAAGAAAATTAATAACTTTTCTTATACATGCTAGGAAGGGGTCCAAAAAGACCCCAAACCTATCAACACCTCTCCCACCTTCAGAGTAAGGCTCTGAAGCCTTGTCTCTGGCTTTACACCCATTCACTGAGATAGCCAAGTAGATTTCCAAACATAGGGTTTTTTATTATCTAAGTTATGACCTTCGGGTAGGTGACAATTGTTACTGAGAGCTGGGAACCACAATATTTAATGCAACAGTTACCTCTGTTATAAAACCTGCCTAAATCCCACCTTGTTGCTAGGAGAGGGGGAAAACACTTTATCTAGGAAAGAAACAAGTCAGCAAGATTAATGAGAATAAAAGAACATTAGCCTCGGGATTTATTAAATTTTATCTTGAAATGTAATGATAGAACAAGTACTTACCTCAGTACCCATCTTTTCCAGCAAGTGACGAAAGAAATCATCAAGTTCCTTCCCTTCTATGTACCCATTATCTAAAAGCAAGCATAGATATCATAAATTGTCTAACAGTAAATAACATAATGTTACCAGTTTTTTTTTAATCTGTAAATTTCCCTTAGACAGATTGTTGTTTTCTTATGTCAACAACTGAAATTGAACTCAACTCTACCATTCATATTTAAGATATGGATTTTAAGGGAGGAAAGGAGGAGTGTGAAAACAAGCCCTTCCCCCTCAAAGTTTATAAACAATTGGAAATAAAAACTATTTAATAAGGAAATTTTAGTAAGGCATGATTAAACCTAGAGCAAGGCATCTCAGTCACTGAGGAAATATTTCACTGTAATAAACCCCAATTTGATCAATAATTATAGTAGAAACTGCAAGTTAAAATTCAGTACACAGTTTTCATGCCATTTTCTTTGTGATACTCATTTTCATTAATAATAAGCATCTGTTATAATCTGGTAAATTTTTCCTCATTTAAAAATAAAGGTGTCATTCAGGAAGTAATAGTGCTAGGGAAGGGATGATAGAACTGTGAAGGGGAAATTAATTTTATTTAGATTATCAGCTCTCAAGCCCAGATAACATAGTTCATACTGAAAAGAGAAACCTCCTTAGCCTGGCATGTAGAGCCCTCTACAATTTGGTTCATAACCCAGTACTCTAGGATTTAGAGTAGGAAGGGACTTTAGAAACAGTCTAGCCTTACCCACCATTTTGCAAACTAGAGTTCAAAAAGGGGGAAATGACTTGCTCAAAAACCATACGGTTAATAAGTAGCAGAAATGGTCATCTTACTCTGAGTCTAATGTTCTTTCCATTCCACAATGATAGGAACTTGTCCCAATATCTTCCATTTGTTTTGGTTGGCACCTAGAATGACTCCTTTGCCCTACCCTTTATTTATTCTGGCTTACTTTCAGACACTTGGGGTAGACAACTTTCAAATCATAAAGATACAGAGAAATACAGAAATGAAAAAAAACCCACCACTCTATGCCCAAATACAGGCAGAAAAACTGTACTCAGTGCCCTACTCTACAGCCACCATGGCCCTACTTATCACTTACCATCAACATCAAAGCGTTGCCAGATGTGCAGAAAAGCGGCAGCATCGATCTGCCCCAGAACTTCGCCAATGTCGCTGTCCATGGTCCCGAACAGGAGGCTCTGGCTTTAGCCAGGAGATAAGGTAACTATAACTTACAGAACTCCTAGAAACTTTCTCTTTTCCCACTTTTCTTCCTTGTTCACCCACTCTGCTTCCTCTTTTGATCTTTTTCCTTTAGGAAAAATGCTTTTTTCCTTTCCTCCTCCCTAAAGCGAGGAGCAAGGATGACACAGAGCCTCTAGGGCAGTGAGAAAAAGAGATCAGAGCAGCAAAGATATAGTTGGTGCCAGTACTGCTGTTCTGATGCCAGAGCTCAAGGGACCACAATGTTTTCTGAGGGATCAGCTTGGAAGACCCGCCCAGCTCTCCAGCATGTTGGCTCCAGGGACACCTCCCTCTCTTCAGCTATCTATGCTGGTCAAGGAGAGTCAAACTCCAACCTTTGATGCATAGCTGGAGAAAGCAGGTGTCACTGACTTTCATGGCTCACTGCCTTCTGCCTTTTAACTTTTCCTTAAACTCAAAGAAAACAACAACATTTGACTCAGCCTATGAAATACATTTCTCCTCTGGGATTTAGGGATTTTCTAGTGAGTATTGCCCTGCTTAAACTATTGGTAAGGTCTGTCAGTGTGAGTTCTCCTTAGACATGATGGTTTTGAACTGGCAATGTTTGTATGTCTTTAATTTTGATAAGGGATAGAGCATTTATTGAGCATCTATTCTATATGAGACATTAATAATTGTAAATATGCTGCTTGACACTTTTATGCAACTAAAGGAAAATCTGCTGTTAGGGAAGGCAATTCAAATTCTAGTAAGGAATAGAGGAACATGTGTTCTTTATTTGGGGAGAGAATAGAAAATACAAAAATACATCCCCAGCAAGGTTAGTCTATAATATTTATCATAACTTCCAAAATAACATCAACTTAAGATGATTTTGGTGGGGGAGGGGTAGAGGTGGGGCTATTCATTGTCTGGAAATTGCAGTGCATTGGTTCTGTAAAATGAGTTGGTTTTGGATTATTCAGTTATCAGTTGAATATTGAACATATCCCTTTGCCTTTGAAATTCCTTTTCTGTTAAGTTGTTCATCTTCTGGTCATTTCACCGTTTCTTTGCAGCAACATCTGAAGGTGACCCAGAAAAGATGAGAAATTTAGTTATTATTGTTATTTACCAGATACGCTGCAAAAAAAATGTGATGATTGAAAGAGGTAAAAGAATAAATGAATCAAATGAAGCTCCCTTATATAGCCTGCCAGATTTCATTTATTCCTTCTATCCTTTTCTGCCATCTTCTCCCCAGCATAGATAATTGAGGGTTGGCTGTACAAGAAACAGCAGAAACCTATAATTGGAAGCACTGCTAATCAACTATGATGCAAGCTTTAAACTCTGAGCTAGAATGAGTCTCTGCAACTTGAGGTCTAGGATGCACATCTGAAGATGCAATGAGTGCTCTGTCAGTATCCATTAGCATTTATTGAGCATTTAAACAAGTCAGGCACCACACATAATATAGAAAAAGTGAGATCCTTGTGGATTTTCTTATATCAGTTGAGGAGGCACTACCTCAAAGATAAACCATCTTAAATGGGCAAAAGTTGGGCAAAAAAACTGCCACCAAAAAGCAAGCAGAGTAAATTAGGAATAGAATGGTTGAATTCTAAAGTAAGCTAATTACTCTGTCGGGGTTTCTAATAGCAGAGCTAACCCCTCTTCCTTACCAACTATCTGGTACTTATTATAAAATGCCGTGGAGCATTTAGGTGGTGCAGTGATTAGAGCACCAGGCCTGGAGTCAGGAAGATTTGAGTTCAAATCCAGCCTCAGACACTTACTAGCTTTGTGACCTTGGGCAAGGCACTGTATTTTGTTTGCCTCAGTTTCCTCATCTGTAAAATGAGCTGGAAATGGTAAACCACTCCATTATCTTTGCCAAGAAAACCCCAAATGGGATGACAAAGAGTCAGACAGGACTGAATAACAACAACAAAGTAAAATTCCCATAGCACTTTGTACCTCTTTCATAATATTAGTGGTTTACAGTTTTACAAAACACTTGCAACAACACTATGGGGGTAGGTACTGCTAATGCTATGATGTCTACTTTATAAATATGTAGACAGGTTATATGAGTTTTCCCATTACCATATAATTAATTAGTGTCAGAACTACCCATTTCTTAACTCCAAATTGTATATTCCTTCTTCCGTATCACATCTCATTATTTTTCTCATATTAAATTGTAAGTTATATAAATGTATCCTATTTTTCTTTTTATCTTTCCCAGTTCCTAGAAAAGTGCTTTGAGTATAACAGTAGCTTTAGAAATAGTTGTCAAATCAAAGTGTATTGCCAGTTATCTTTTATATGTATAGGTCTTGTTCCACCCTTTCTCAGTTAGGTTGTGAGCTTCTTGAGGACAAGGGTCATGTTTTCACATCTCTGTATTGTCTATGGTGCCTTGTACATTGCAGATGCACAAAAAAGTTAGCTTATTAATTAAATGCCACCCCAGTGTTACCTTTCATTTCATTTTACTTTCTAAGCTACAGTCAGGATCTTTTCTAATTTAAAATTAGAGAAAAACTGATGCCCTTCTTGTCTCTGTACTACCCACTGTGTGTCCTTGGATAAGTCATGTCATTTCTCTGTCCCTCAGTTGCCTCCTGTGTAAATCAAGACGGTCAAGCTAAATGATCCATAAAGTCCCTTTTGGCTCTAAATCCTGTGATTTTTTAGTCATTTAAAATGTAGTTAAATCTTACAATTGTTTCCATCCTACTCATGGACTCTTCCAATAACAAATTGGAATAATACAAAATTTCACATTATTAAGTCACTTCTTGCAGAGCAAGAGTTTATGCCTTTTTCTCTTAAACTAGGTAAAACTCAATGGCATTCCTTTTGAGATAATCAGTATCTGATTGGAAACTTGTGACCACCACCAGGATGAGGCGAGAAGAGGGTACTTTATTAGGTTTGTTCATCACACCTGAAAATTACATTCTTTCAGAGATGTCACAGCTATGCATTAGACTGTCTTACTGCTGTCAATATGGGTGACATAATTTAAGGAACTCCAGAGGAGTGTTTAAGTTCATTATGGATTTTTTCAAAAGAGGATCCTTTATGTCTTGTTCCCAAGAAGGTCAGTCCCACAATGTCTAATCTATTTCAGGGAGCTGAGCTGCTCCAACTTTGCTGTTCTCATGAACGTCTTGCTGTCGCTCTGTTTAGAATAAGTAGGTTCAAAAGTTGGCTAATTCTTACTTGTTTAAACACCAACAATGTGTTTATGCTTCTTTTTGGCATCTATGTGGGTCCTTAAATACATTATATGCAGTCTTCTGTTACACATACCACAGGATTGTTCACATAGCAGGTGCTCAATTAACACTTGTTAAAATTTATGTTTGCTTACTTATCCTTTAAATTTTGTATTTAAAAATATTCTTTAAATTGAAGAGGGCCTTGTGGGAAGGCAGGGTAGAATGTGGAAGTTCCTGAGGGAGAAGTTCCAACTTTCTATTCTTTCAAAGATCAGGGTAAGGCTCATTTTCTTTAAGGATAGATTTTCAAAGGATTAGTCCTGGTTGACAAGGTTCTTCCAAGAAAAAGCTTAATCTTCTAATAGGAGCCTGTCCAAGAGTTCATAAGGAGGCCTTACCTAAGACATCCTCCAGTAAATAAAGCAAACAGAGCTTTTGTCCCTTCCTCGGATTCCCCTCTCCCCCAAGGCCCCAAGTTAAACAAAATGCAGAGTACATATGGGCCTAAGCACCTGTTCAGATGTTTGCCTTTTGAGAAAGGAGATGAGATAAGTCAATATTTACTGGGAGGGATTTCAAAATACTCTGTAGACATCAGTGGGGCTGATATTTCCTGTGCAAAAGAAGCCAGGTGTTTTTCCTCTTGTCCCTGAAAAGAACTGATAATGGGCCTTGAAATGATATTTCTAGGCATTTATTTATTTAGTACACATTTAGTAGGTATCTGTAGCCACCCCTGAAGACTTGACCACCCAGAAAAGAAGGTGAGCAAATATGTAGCCTTCTGGGCTAAGATGGACTTATATTGTAGAACCCTAACTAAATAGTTGGAAGGGAAGTTAGAGGTCATCTGGTCCAACCTCCCACTCAGTGCAAAAATCCCTTCTCTAGAACCCTTGGCAAATGGTTACCTAGCCTTTGCTTATGTACTTCTACTTCCCCAGGTAGCCCTCTATTTTTAGATAACTGTACTTAACTCTCTCTTGATATTGTTTAGTCATTTTCAGTCATGTCCAATTCTTTGTGACCCCTTTTGGGGTTTTCTTGGTAAAGACACTGGAGTGGTTTATCATTTCCTTCTCTAGCTCATTTCACAGATCAGGAAACTGAGGCAAACAGGATGAAGTGACTTGCTCAGGGTCACACAGCTAGTAAATGTCTGAGACAAGATTGGAACTTGAGTCTTCCAGATGCCAGGCCTGGTGCTCTATTCACTGTGCCACCTGGCTGCCCCAACTCTCTCTGACATTAATAACAATAATAATAATTTATATTATTTATATGGTACTTACTAGGCACCAGGCACTGTGATAGGTGCTTTGAAGTTATTACTCATTTGATCCTCACAACAACCCTAGGAGGTGGTACTATTATTATCCCTATTTTACAGATGAGGAAAGTGAGGCAAACAGGGCAAGTGACTTAACTAGGGTCATATAGCTAGAAAGTGTCTGAGGCCATATTTGAACTCAAGTTTTCTTGATTCTAGTCCCACAAGGTCTCCCTTTTGTATTGAGGTAAAAATCTTTGTCCTTGTAAGTTCTATTCTTTGGGCTTAGTTTTGACCTCTAGGGAAACAGAAAATAAATCTTCTTCCTCTTCTAACCCAACAGCGCTTCAAATAGTTGAGAAGAGCAATCCTGTCCTCACTTAGTCCCTTTTTCTTTAAGGTAAACACCTTGTTCCTTCTTCATTCCTTCAAAAAAAATTTTTTTAATATGACATTTTTTCAGTATTTGTCAGTATTCCTACTAAAATGTAGTACCCAGAACTGAGCTTGTACCATTCTGGACTTTATACAGTTGATTTTCACTATTTGTGGATATTTGCAAATTCACCTACTAGTTAAAATTTATTTGTAACCCCAAAACCAATACTCATGGACCTTTTTTATGGTCATTCATGGACATGCACAGATGGGCAAAAAATTTGAGTTGGCTGACTTGCAGGTTCCCAGTTGAGGTTGAACAAGGTGATGTTTTGCCTTCTTGTTTCAGCCCTCATGCTGTAAAGAAGTATCCTTTTTTTGTGGTCTATTTAATACCACATT